TTGGGTCCGTCGTTTCGCCTGTCTCTCGGCCAATTCTATCGATCACTGCCATCAGCAATCACCCAATCACCAATGATTACAACTATAGCCTCAGCTTAACTGGGTTCATTGCCGATTTGGGTTTTCCAGATCAATCCCCGATGACGGGTGATTTCTGACGGCAAAAGATTAATAGAACTAGCTGAGAGACAGGCGAAACGAAGGACCCGCATGGTGTATTGAACGCGCTACCCTCCGGAAACGGTAATAGCGCGTTCGTTCCCCACCGCAAACACCCGAGGTCTGGTATTTTGCTAAATATCTTAGCGTCATTGGAGTTATACTTTTAGTATTCTTCCTATGGTATTTTTTCTCCCACATATGTTGTAATATGACAGACTAAGGAAGTCTTGTTGTCCTCAATGTGAAATACATCGAGATAAGCGATTTGCAGACGAATTCATTCGTCGGGTTTGAATTCGAGTGTGGAGATCTCTGCCAACATGCCTGCCATGCTAGCACACTGGAGTTCAAACACTACGCATACTTTCCCGCCACGATGAGATGGTGAACTATTGAGGAGACTTGTAGCAGATGTAATTGCTGCATAGATGTACTCGACGTCACCAGAATGGATAACCTGCATCCAATTTACTCTACTCACAGACAATATTAAACTATCGAAGCAGCATTTAGATACGCGAACACCAGCAGCCTGAAGATACTAATATACAATTGCGCCTTAAAATCATTCATTCTAATCTCCACATCGTCGCTGTAGAATCCCTATGAGTTGACCAAAGAAATATCAGTAAAAAGGTAGAAGAATAGGCATATTCATCCGCAATGTCAGCAAAATAAATGTGCAAAGAGGAATCAAGATTTGTCACCTAATAGCTTAGGTAGCACATGGTGAATAGGCCGTCATTTGGTTAATTCTTTCCACAAACACTTCTTTCTCACCCTCAGTTACCTGCGGGGTTTGACTAGTTGGGAATAAAAATCTCGTGATACAATGGATACATCTGATGTAAAGTTGCTACTTCCGCAACAGGATACAATTATAACAGCTCACTTATAGTCGATTGTGCTGCGATTAAAGACTTAGTTACTTCAAAATATCTCTATTTTTGATCACCGACGGCCACCGTCATCCTTGTCTTCTTCGTCTTTCCCTTCATATTAGGATTCATCACATTCAGATTCTTCGTGTAAAACGAGAGGTTAGTATTCCATAGTGCAGAACAGAAAGTCATTGAAATGAAGTCGAATCTTTCATCCACCAAAATAGCATTCAATTTTTGACCAGTAATTAGTATTTCGTGAACGTCCGTCCGTCCGATTCCGATCGGACGTTTACGATTAAAAAAATGTGGATCAATTCCGGCTTTGACAATCTTCGTCATTTACGCGCCGTCATCAAACTATGACGAAGAAAAAGTCGAAGCGTTCTATATGGACTTGGAAACGTTTTACAGAGAAGACCACACATTCTTCAAGGTCATCATTGGAGATTTAAACGCTAAGATTGGACCAAGAAAAACGTCTGAAGAAGGTTACATTGGGACCCACGGGTTATAATGGAACGAACAGGGTGAGCGGCTGCCTAAGTTTATCATGACGACCAAGACAATCCATGGCAACTCGCAATTCCAAAGCCCAACCCTCAGCGCTGGACGTGGGAGTCTCCCAATGGAGAGTACCATAACGAAATAGAACACATCATAGTAAATAGATTTTGCCTAATTGATGTCGCTCTTGTCTCAAAATTTAACACGGGATCAGACCATCGTCTCCTTCGTGTAAGATTCTATTTCTCGCGGAAAGGAGAAAAAGCTGCTAAATTCCAAAACCGAAGTCCAAGAAACACAGCAAACTGGGACTTGCTCAAACCATTAGCCGGTCGTTGGAGAGCTGCCGTTGTCGATAACATCGACGAAGAATACGATAGGCTCATTCAACATCTTTACGTTAGCGCTATGAAAGCCGAGAGTTCGAAAGTCACCAAGAGACGTTTGTCTGCAGAAACACTAGAGCTGATACGCCAGCATGGAATCGCACGAACTGCAGGCAACCACAAACTAACGTCCGAACTTGCAAAACAATGCAGACAGGCGATAAAAGATCTTAAAGAGAGAAGAGCAGAAGTAATGGTCGAAGCTGCAGAGGCTGGAAAAAGCATTCGCAAAGCCCACCGAGGCCTCGCCAGTTACAAGAAAAAAAAGGATTGCTCTCCGGCGCCCAGACTTAACAGTTGCAACGTCCAGAAAGGCAATGGAGAAAATTATTCGCGAATACTACTCAGATCTCTTCGATGACCACGTCCACCTTTTGTCATATGAAATAAAGGAGGACGGATATGTTGTATCACTGGTTCTCTCTTCCGAAATTCGACGTGCCAATTCCTCGACGAAAAATCGAACAGCACTAGGTCCGGACAGGATAAGATCAGAACACCTAAAGAACCTTCCGCCAGTCTTCGTAAACACAGGGGTTCAGATCTTTACACGTCACCTGTCTGAATGCAAGGTTCCTACTCAGTGGAAGACACACATTGTTCAATAAGGGTGACAAGCACGATATCGGCGACTATCGCACAATCTGCTTACTGTCTGCCTTCTACAAACTTTTCACTCGATTCATCCTAAACAGAATTGACAGAACACTAGTTGAAGGACAGCCATGTAAGCAAGCAGGGTTCCGAAGAGGATTTAGTAGGATGGACCACATCCACACGGCAACACGGCTCATTGAAGTATCGCGAGAGTACAACAGACCGCTGTGTCTCACTTTAATCGATTTACAGAAGGCTTTTGAAAGCAGTCTTGAAAGCCCTTGATAGTCAAGGAGTCCCTACTCAGTACATAAAGATTCTTCGTGAGCTGTGCAAAAATTTTACAACCAAGATATCACTATTCTACAACGATATTAACGTCGATGTCAGAAGAAGGGTTAGACAAGGCGATACCATCTCGCCAAATTTATTTACCGCCACCCTCCAGAACGTCATGCAAACATTGGAATGGGATAATATGGAAGTGAAAATCATTGTTTGGCAGTTACACCATCTTCGCTTTACTGATGACGTCGTTCTTATAATACCAAACATTAGCCAAGCAGAACGACTGCTTCCCGACTTTGGTGAAGCCTGTGAAAAGAGTGGTCTACTAAATTTCGCAAAAACGATATTCATGAGGAACGGGTTGCTTCCGTATGCCACATTTATGCTTAAAGGAACGAATATCTCCGAATGCTCCAGTTATATCTATCTAGGTCGGGAAATCAATATGATGGACGACCTAGCTCCAGAGCTGAGCAGAACAAAACGGGCAACTTGGGGAGCTTTCAAGAGCATCGAGGATGCAGTGAAGAGGACAAAGAACACCTATCTACGTGCCCACCTCTTCGACGTAAAGGTAGTTCCTGCCCTAACGTATGCTTCAGAAACGTCGTCGCTGCGTAAGCAGGATGGAAGATCACTCAGCGTTATCGAACGCGCAGTTGAAAGGACGTTGGTAAGAGTATCCCGTTCCACACAAGTAAGGGATGGGATCCGAAGCTCCAATCTGCGTCAGCGATCAAAAATCTAAGATGCCGTTCTGTTCGCCAAACAGTCGAAAATAAGGTAGGCCGGACCTGCAATGCGTATGGAAGACAGCCGATGGACAAGAGCCCTTAGTCGCCGAATTCCTCGGGATGTCGAATGTACTGCAGGAACACCACCGTCCCGATGGTCAGAGTTTTTCACAAAGAGCCTTGAAGAAAGATATGATGCTCGACGAAGCCCTGGAACGAGCAGAACCCGCTGGGCTATTCTTGCAAACGACAGGGAAAATGGAAGATTTACTGGCGCTCGCTCGAGTTACTCGACGATCAACGGGATTACAGGTGATGCAGGTGACAGGTGATTTAGTATTTCGTCCCTTTGCGTTTATTATTACGAATGCTACTCAGCCTCTGGGATCGTAAGATATAAAGAGCAAGGAAGTAAAGCACCATGAAATACACCACGCATGGGCTTCAAAACTTTATCAGTGGCTAAATGATAGAAGCGTCTTTTTTCTTTTTAATAACAAATAAGAATTGGATTTGTTATAAAAGCATGGAAAAGAAAACGCATAGAGAAACACAGAGGGCACATGAGATTTGGACAGCTACGAGAAATGTGAAAAAATCCCGAATATTAGAGCGAATACAGAAAGAGAAAATCATGCAATGACATTTGCATAAGGGGCAGTGTGGCCGATGCATATTGAGTTCAATGCTCGTCGCCAGCGATAAAGTTTAGGCGACGACCCATGCCTGCGACACGAAAGACTAGGGGTCGTCGAGAGCTTGTCAAAGTAGTTTTGTAGTGATTTCTGCACTTTTGTAGCAACTTATACTTGCTGAAGATATTCGCTCCAGGTTCCTACTAGCGACGGTTTCACCTGCAATATGTGGCCCAGTGATGTTGAAATTGCAAATGCAACAATTGGGAACAGATAAAGTTGTGGTTTTTAAGGACTATCCAAAAAAAGTTACTCCCATGATTGTTATTATACAGAGCATTCCGTGTTTTGTGCCAGCCGCATGCTGCTTTGACAACACTTTCTCCATCATCATCGTCAGTCTAACGACGGCTATTACGTTGACAAACGGTCGTCCACGATTTGTTCTTAGTGATTTCTTTCATTTGTTGTAATCATAATGAATTTTATAGAGCCGATATTCTCTGTGTTCGTCAGAAATTCAGGTGAAATCGTTTTATGTGGATTCATAGGAATATTCATAGGTGAGCGACTTATTAGTTATTTACTAAGTATCGGCTGAATTTATAAAAGAAATGTGAAGCAAAATTGCACAGTTCAGGATGGGTGTTGTGGTATTTTCCATTACCGAACCAAAAAAATACACATACGTGCAGAATTCTATTGCTCATCTTTCTGTCTATTGCAATAATTTTAGGTTCGCGTTTTTCGAGCTTGTTGGGATTTCCGAGTTTCAACTAGAGCAGTAATTTCAAGAGAAATCTTTTAGGGATGAATGCTGTGAACCATGCGTTCCCAGGCATCGTTGCTTGTCTGCTAGCATGTTTTGTTGCCCCTAGTCGTTGGCGTACCGACAATCCGAAGAGGGTTCGTATCCCGATCGCTCAGGAAATTTTTCTGTGCTATTTGGTTTTGTTTCTGTTTAATTTTGGTCTTCATTATACATTCTAGATTGAACCTATTGCTACCTTCTTTGCTTACACATGGTACTATGTCGCTTCGCCACTGTTGTTCTCACTAGTCGGAACACTGCTTGATTTTACCGAAGTTAGTTAGCCTAAAAAAGGTTAAAAAAGAACAGAATATGATTTTAAATAAGTAAGCGCAGTACTTGAAACTGCCAATTCGCGCCCTATCACACATGGTTCGGCTCCCACCCCGAGCTAAGCAAACAGGTGTTCGACTTGTCGAGAGAGATTTCGATTGACGCATAAAAAAGTGTTCTAGCGTCTGTCTGTGACGGGAAACGCTCTCTCTCAAATTTCAGAGACTATCAGCATGTTTATCATTTAACGACGTCCCACGAAGAAGCCAAAATTCAGGGGACAGCAACTCCAAAGAATATCGTGAATACAGCATGTGCAGAAACGAATTAAATGAACACAGTAATAGATCCACTCAATATCTGATGAGTGACTGTACTTTTATCGACAGCCGCGTTAAGAATTGTCGTCTTCCTAATGAATGTCGTTGGTAGCTGAGAGAGTCGATTCGTCCAAATTTTTGTGCTGTGCTAGGGCGTTCCATGTGTTTATCAGTAGATGACTCTATCTATTTACGGATTGGAAGAAACCAATATCACTGACGATTTGCTATCACTTTCTCAATGTTGGAGCTTTGCATGAGTGGCTGCCCGTTCTGAACGACATCACCACCACTGTGCTGTCTACTTCGACCGATCGTGCCAAAAAACTGCTGGCTACCAAAATCACGGAAGATGAAAGTTGCATGAAATTCGCGTAGGAATGCAATATTGCAAAATCTATCGATGAAATTCGTGTTGTACTAGGTTTTTGCAACGTCAAAAGTAACATTCTAGAAAATCAGGACGGCTCCAAGTAGAGGTTTTTAGCGGTTTTTTTCACCTTTACCTTTCTTTTCGAATTCGCGAGCAGCTTTGCTAACCACAGATACCTGGAGATCGTATTTTTGCGGCAATTGTCCTAGTAATAGTTGGCGTACTAGCACGACTGGCGAGTGGATTTGCCGTCGTCATCTGCTCGCCGTTGAGTCTAGGAGAACAGTTTGTCGTCGTTTGGTCACTTGTACCAAAAGCTACCGTTCAGGTTAGATAATTCTCCCTACATCCATGTTTCTTTTTAATTTTTCCAATTAAGTTTTTCGATTCAGGCTGCGCTTGGTCCCAATCTTCTCGCGGCAGTCGAGGGTTTTCCTCAATTTAAAGAAGATGCCACATTTGTACATCGTTACAGTCCTTAACCTTTTTTTTAAACAACAAATTTAGTTGATTCATTAGAGTGACGTCTAGGGCCATATAACTGCAAGATCTTTGGTAGTTCCTTACGCACACAGGAAAATGTAGACGGTCCAATACTGTGCCATCTATATAGCGTATTTTAACAATCTCACACGATTTATAACATACGAAGCACTTATTTCTCTGCCTAGTAGGCCGAGTGACCTATTTAGACATAAAGTCACAAATTCTTCTTATAAGATTGTTTTAGGTAGTGGCAAGTTGTATCTTAACGGTGGCAATCACAGCTCCTATCGGCGCTGTTATTCTCGACCTTGTAGCACCCCGTGTTATGAGAAAAGCGCCGGCACATACAGTGAGCGAATGGTTTTGCAGAACTCGACTCCATCTGAATTTAATTTCTTTTTTTTCTTTTTATTTTGTTGCAGAATCAAGTTGCTGCGGGGGATCAGGAGGTTCATAAGAAGTCACTGCCAACAATCGTTGAAGAATGCAGAGACAAAGTGCGGTTTAAACGAATGCGTGCATTATCCCTGCAAGTTGGAAATACAAACAGATGAGAGCACTGTTTCATTGACGAGTATTAATGAATGTAGAAGAAGTATTCCTTGATGTTGTGGATTGGTGTTCCATAAAACGAATCACTAGAACTGTCTGTGAAGTTTCACATATGAGAGATAAAGTTTTTCGGCCTCCTTCACTAATAGCAAAACTTTTCCGCAAGTAAAATTTATCCGTCAACCTCAAGTTAATAGAAGATCAAAGCGTGCAGTGTTCAATCCTTTTCGGATGCGCTATCCAGCTGACTCCATTACGAAAGTGAGTTTGTTAGTCCAGGATGCGGGATCGAACCAAAGACGTTCTGTGCGTAAGACATCGTTACTCAGGACGCTGCTCGACAATTCTTGCTTTAGACGGAATTAGGCTTGTTATCAGAAGTTTAGTTTCACTCTTACTTTCTCAAAAATTCGCAATAAAAATATGGTTGAGCAGAACGTTGAGGAAATGAATCAATAATTTTTTCGCATGAGTTTTTGAGATCTAGAACATTTTTCGACTTGTATCCATTGGCTCTGTCACAACTAGTCCATGGAAAGCCGTTCTCTACACTTAGTGATTTAAAAAAAAGCTTTCATAGGCTTCATTTCATGATGGAACACGGCTATTGCTGAAGGGATCATACATTACAGAGGCTGTTGCTGGTGATAAGGGAGCAGAAGTGTCTCGAATTAGATAACGAAGTTCGACACGTAAGGACACCTTTCCGCTATAAGATGATAAATCGTTGAAGTTGCTTCCTTAGAGTGGCTGGACGCTTACTTGCATCCAATAATGTGCTTCGACTCGATTGTCTTTCGAAACACTCATCAAGTCGTGTGGCCACAACCCTTCATTCATGTTTTAAATGCTGTGCTCGAAAGCATTTCCTAACAAAAACTTTCCCTGCTAAGAATTAAAACTTATGCACAGAGATGGTTTCGAAACTCTTGTCGATGCTTACAGGCTTCACATAAGACTTGCAATTTTGCAAAGAATCATCTTTTTTTACAAATAACATCCACACCTTACGCAAATGTAGCACTGTAATCTTACTTCGTAATGAAGTTGTACAATTTGCATGATCAGTGCTGCAGCACCATAAACAATAATGTTTCTAAAACCGATTGAATCCTCTAAAGTCTATACGTTCAAAAAATAAAAGGATAAATTAAGGATAAAGCTCATGGCGTTGATCAATCCCTGAGGGATGCACCGTGCATTCGACTTCATTGAGTAACCTTGGAGGTGATTGAATGCATATCTGGCCTTTACAATGACTCCCGGTGACCTACCGATTAAATAGCCTCGTTAATTGTTATCGAGGTTCGCCCTTGTCCAGGTTCGTCGACTATCCAGATTCACCCCTGTCGGGGTTCGCCGGCTGTTTAGATTCGTACCGTATTGAACTCGTGTGTCACCAATGTAGGTTATCGTAGTTGTTAAGTCATACAACACCTAGTCATTATTGAACATTAACTTCATCATATCATTGTTAAATGACAGTTGCGAATTGTACATTAGTTTAGCATCACTGTCATTACGTCACGCTTTTCATCAGCCCAGTGTATCCTCATCATTATTATCTTGATCCTCATCCTCATGTCAATGTTCATTGTTTATCAATTGGTCTGCGGTGTGTTGTCAGTAGCGGCGGCTATCCTCAAATGCTTTCTGTCTGAAACGCCACCGGTGGCATATACCATTCCTCCCACACGGTACGCCGAGCGTACAAGGCCGCTAGCCAGCCAACTTATGCTGTGAATATTGTGACGAAACGGAATGACATGGAGAAGATATGGCACAGCTTGTTTTACAAAGAGAATCCTGTGGCTTCTGAAGAACAATCCGTGCTTCCCACCGAGGCACGGCTCAACCCAAAATCGAGAAAAAAAGTTGGCATAGATCATGTTTGAGAGTTTTAATGCGCCCCGTATGTACATAGCCATCTAAGCTCTCCTGTCTTCATACGCTTCCAGGCGTACCTGGAGTAGTTCTGGACTCCGGAGTTACTCATACTACCTACATATGAGATAAAGTCTCGCCAATAATTTGCTCGATCACCTGGCTAGTTGACTGGATAACTTGTTCCAGGGATGCGCTATAGCTCATGGAATCTTCCTTCTTAACCTTGCGGGTAGTCAACTAATTGGTTATATGATGAGGATTCTAATCGAACGAGGCCACTGATCCACCACCACTGCAGAGCCCGAAATTGTTCGCGAACTTAAAGAACGAACTTAAAGAAAGTTGTGTTACACCGCTCTGGATTTTGAAAAGCAATGGCAAGGACTGCTTCTTCGTTCTCTGTCCACACAACGTTTGAGCTCATTGACGTCAACTTAATCTCCATTATAGCCGAGCGTTTCCGCTGTCTTGAAGCTGTGTGAATTGTGTGTGAATTAGAATGTGCTTCATTCATTCTTTTGAAAAAGAGGACGATTTTTTAGCCATCATTACGCGAGTTGGAACTGGCTGGAGTCCACGAGATCTTGTTCAACTCAGTTATGAAGTGCAATATTGATATTCGAAAAAATCTGTGCCCCAACACGACCTTGACAGGAGGAAACACATTGTTTCCCGGCCTTTCAGAGCGCATGGACAAAGAATTGACTGCTCTAATTCCTAGGTTTGTGGTTTGTTCCTAGGAATGAGCCACTCATTAATCACTTTATCTGCATAGATATGTGAAGAATTCTTTTCCATGTTGATGAAAATTAAGAACGTTGCCCTCCCTGAGCGTAAATATTCGGTCTGGATAGCTAAATCTGTGCTAGTCTCCTTGTGAAGCTTCCAGGAAATGTGGACCACAAGGTAGGAGTACAATGAATGTGGGCCCTCCATCGTTCACCGAATGTGCTGATCAGCAGAACACCTTCGCTTGTGACAATACACTGGCGTGTACTAATAAATGGATTTCGGTGTGTCTCGAGTAATTGATTGCAAGACTTGCGAAATACCGCTTTTGCCTAATCACACAATTAGCGTTCTAGTTTTGGCTGCTTTTTCCTATTTTCACCAATATTTAGCAAAGGTTTATTTGAAATACACACAGAAAGTCAAATCGTTTTCACAAATGTCTCGTGCGATCATTTGAAACATTCGGGCCGACGATGGTGTCTCGATTATAGCAATTGGTGAATTCAGAACCTGGAAACAACGAGGAAACGTTGCCACGTTTCCCTGACAACCCTTTCCAAAACATTAACTTTACTTGCGACTTGACCGCAGTATCAGAAACATCGTTTGTCGGAAGGCCTAATGCAAAATTCGAATGCTCGAAAAATGTTCTGAAATACTAACAGCCGCAGATGACAGTAGTGCAACCAGGACATCACAACATCCTGCTCGGCGAGTTTCCAGTTGTTCGAATAGTTCAGCGATTTTTGCACTCTAAAAGACTAGAATAGGGACAAATTACGAGAACTTGCACATTGTTGGTAGAGATAAAAAGGTTATGATAGTTCTTTGTCCAAATAGTAAATTTCTCCATTGGTTAAGATATGTTCGGATTTTACATAATTGTTACCCCGCTGCGAAAAGTTAGAGTTGTGTAAATATCCAAGGCACAGCGGCTAACCGGAATTGTAGTTTTTGTTGACTGTGACGTCACATTATCTATTTGCTTGAGAGGGTAACGTTGGGCATCCTCGACGCGGGTTCGCCACCGTTTTTTGCAGCGTAATGGATTTGAAGTTAAATCCAACTAGCACGCAACTAGTTACAATTAGGAACGCGCATCTATTATGCTACTCAAGAATAAACGAGCGTTTTAAAATATTCACTGCTTTAATGTATTTTTTACCGACAAAATGTGGTTTCCTTGCAGTATTACAAATTACAAAAAAGCTAACTTTAGGCCTTTTAAAATAAGCTTTTGTTCTGTCGAAAACTAATTTTTTTTTATGAATTTTGAGTTTCGCTTTTTTATATATCGAAAACGATGTTTCGTTAAACTTTCTATTATGCGTTATTATGCGTCCAAACTTGACCGTAGTGCAACAGAGACGGCTCAAAACATTAATGAAGTTTGGGAGATAGTGCTGGTGAATGAATAGTGCAAACGTAGAGCCGAATGTTCCGATCTGGTGAGGCAAGGAAACAGTTTCCCCTCACTTGAATGACATAGGAGAGGCAAAAAACTCGACAAGAGGATGCAGCAGGAATTAAACGATGATCAAAAAATTGCCTTTTCGAAGTGTCGCCTACTCTTGTTTTGCGCAACGAAAACGACCTTTTTCTTGATCGAATTGTGATGTGTGCCGAAAAGTGGGTTCTGTACGACAACCGGCGGCGTTCAGCCCAATGCTTGAATTTCGATCAGTATCCACAGCACTTCTCAAAGACAAAATTACGCCAAAAAAGGTTACTGCCTGGCAGTCCTCAGCCGGTGTGATTCATTAGAGCTGCGAAGAGATTATAGCATCGAAGTATAGCGATATAGATTAGGCTCCACATTTCCCGAAGCCGAAATTGCACCGAAAAAAGGTTGTGGTGACTGTTTGGTGGTCTGCAGCCGGGTTTATTCATGAAAGCTTCTTGAAGCCGTGCGAACCGATTACGGTAGAGTGACACTGCCAACGAATCGATGAAATGCACCGTAAACTCTAAGAATAACGACGGGCATTAGTCAACAGAAAACGGCAAATCCTTATAGTGGCGGCTGCGTTGGATGCACTTGCGTGGTAGTGACCGTTGAGCCGCTCACTACTTAGTAGTAGTTCAGTGGT